ATTTCTCTCAACAGTGTATCACCCCTGTAGGTAGATAAGCTTCTCTTTCCATGTCACATATAAAGTGGCAAGATACTGATGTATTGAAAGTTGGTTGATAGAATATGTTGTCCTCCTAGCATCCAAGCCATCTTCCCAGCACCTAACCCTGCAGCCCTGAAGGATCGCCGCATGGAGAACCTAGTGGCCTACGCTAAGAAAGTAGAAGGGGACATGTATGAGTCTGCCAACAGCCGGGTAGGTTGCCTTACTTATTCCAGCCTGCACATACCTGTGGCAGATATAACTGCATCTGGCTGGCTGGCTTGTCTGGAAGTGGGGATATGTTAGTTGGGTAAGCCTATCACCTTGAGGAGCCTGACCAGAGAGACTTAGCAGATAAGAAATTAGGTCCTGTCTGCCTGGTGTGGCTCAGTGATTGAGCATCGACCTATTAACCAGAAGGTCTCTGTTAGTGCACATTACCTACCTGGGTTGCAGGCTCGAACCCCAGTGTGGGGCCTGTAGGAGGCAGGCTGATCAGTGATTCTCTCATCATTGGTGTTTCTTTCTCTCTCCCCCCCTCCCTTCTTCTCTGAAAAAAGAAAAAGAAAAAAAAGAATTAGGTCCCTGCACAACTCTCTTTGTTTACTATAGTATCCACCACTACAGGTAAATGTGGTATACAAAATTGCATTTTATCCATGGATGCCATGTCCATGTCCATGTGGGCGTTGTTTGTTATGCTTATACTATATTATTGCCAGCACCAGTGAATATCTAAGAGGTTCAACTGTGGAAAGAAAAGTAACATGCATTTAGTACCTACTGTCTATTAAATCTTGTAATGTAACTAGTTCAACAAGAATTTTGGCCTTTGGTTTTTTAGTTAGAAGTGTTGAACGCTTACTTTGTTAGTGTACTTAATAAAAAAGTTCATTAATTTTTTAGAACATACAAACCAGATCATTTTTTATAGTTTTGACTGCCTAATGTTATTGCTCTTCAGGATGAATACTATCACTTATTAGCAGAGAAAATCTATAAGATACAAAAAGAACTAGAAGAAAAACGGAGGTCGCGTTTACACAAACAAGGCATCTTGGGTAACCAGCCAGCCTTACCAGCCCCCGGGGCGCAGCCCCCTGGGATACCACAGTCACAACCTGTGAGACCTCCAAGTAAGGACTCCATTTCCTTCTATCAGCCCTTAACCTGTTTGCTTGTTTTTCCTTCTGTATTTGGGGTGTGTTTCTAAGTATATAGAATTATGTTCTCAGGAAGCCCACATTTTGGAGACTGATAGTGGTCATGACCTTGTACATTGGCCTATGTTTAGACATTGAGTCTCTTGTGGAGAGGTCCTTTGGAGGGTTTGCAAGCATCGAATGTCCAGTGCTTTGGGACCTGTTGACTGGTTTTTTCTTTAAGTTTGAAGTACTCAAGATAAATTCCTTATTCCTCAATCAAGGATTATTTTAAATAACTTTTTTTTTCCCTGCTATTATAGATGGGCCCATGCCCCTGCCAGTGAATCGCATGCAGGTTTCTCAAGGTATTTAACTATTGCTGTGAATCATATTTCTGTTTACCATTCAACAGCCACAAAGTGCATTGTTTCTTTTTTCCCCTTTTCCTGTTTATTTCTTTATAGCGCTTCTTTTTCCTTACATTCCTTATTGTTGATGAGCAGAATTCATTTCCACAGGCAGTATGAATATCAGTTGTATTTGGATTCAAGAGAGGTTATTACTTTAGGAAGAGTCTCACAAAACATTGTAGGTGGGGTAAGGAAACGTTTCTGAATGTGTGAAAGGAGAGCATCAGGCCAGTCCTGGGGCAGCGAGCGAGCAGCACGGGAGGTGAGATGGAGAAAGTGCAGTGGCTGCTCTAGGCCCTGTGAGTGCAGGTGGTCAAGCCTAGCCAGCAGGATTTACACTCAGAGAGTCTGCATCAGGCTGAGGTGCTGGCAGCTGGTCTCAACAACTTTTAAAGGTTCTTTGTCAGGTTGAAATTCACTAGTTTTTGCTTGGTTGAAGCCATCGTTTTAGTTTGGGAGTTTGGGGATGAGGGACATTTCAAACCTTTTACTAATTGAGACTTGAACAGTAAGGTGTTTTTACAGGTTGTGAAATAAGGTGGTGACATTACCCAAAGATTCTAAAGCAAGGCTTGGCTCTGCTGTTAGTAAAGTAATTTGGGAGGGGAGAAAAGGTCATTTTTTAAGTTTGCAGTAATCTTATTGCATATTGAAAAAGACATGGTAGATAAACTGATAATATAAAGGAAAGGGTTTACAGAGGATTGTAGGAAATTACAAAGAAAGAGGGGCTGTGGTCTGGAGACACTTAGCAGCTAGTAAAGTGTCTTTCATGGTGTAACATTCTGTGAACAATGGGCAGCCCCAGGACAGCAACGGTACTGCGAAAATGGGATTTTCCTCAGCTGTAGAGAGAAGGCTGAGAGCTTGCCACCTCTGGATGCTTTCTAAACACTTAACTTGTTTGCAAAATTAAAACCATATTTTGAGTCTTATCCCAGATTCTAACAATAAATATAAACCCAGCTGAAGAGCTAGGAGGCCGGGGCGGGAGGGGGGAGGGGGCGGAGATGAGAATGGGTTTCCTGCAGGAGAGAAAACGGAAGCCACATGCTCCAGCAGGTGTTAGTGAGAGGTTGGCTCAGATTGGTGCCCTGGCCTTAGTTAACACCTCTTCCATAGTTGGTGGGAACATCTTCCCGATGTAGCCTTGTCTCCTTAGTCACTTTGATGCTTTTTGATCGGGGTCCTGCCATACTGATCAGTGCTTCCTCAGCCTTATTTTTTTGTGGTTTACCTGACTTTCTACCCTCATCTCCTCATTTTGTCCTGCCCCTCCGATCCCCACCATACCACCCTCACCAGCATTGATGCCATTTTTCCTGGATATGAAAATTCTGTTACTTAATCATCTGATTAGCTGGGTGATTTCCTTTCAGTTGTATGTGTTGTGTATGTGTTCCATGTTATTTTGCTTAGAGTTTATTGGGCAAATTGTAATTCTGTTTCCCTGTGGATGCTTTTCCTAATGAACTATTGTGGGTACATTTACAGGGATGAATTCATTTAACCCGATGTCCTTGGGGAATGTACAGTTGCCACAAGCTCCCATGGGACCGCGTGCAGCATCCCCCATGAACCACTCTGTCCCAATGAACAGCATGGGCTCCGTTCCAGGGGTAAGTCCTGCTTGCCTTAACTGTGCTGAGAAGGCCTTGCCCAAATAAGGAAAATTCTCTAAGCAGTAAAATTGTAGATTGTCTAGAATCCTATGGTACCTCTTCCTTTGGATTTGGATTATGCTTTATTTCTTTCATATCTCTCTCTCTCTCTCTCTCTCTCTCCCTCTCTCCCTCTCTCTCCCTCTCCCTCTCCCTCTCTCACTCTTGCTCTCTTTCTTTCTCTTTCTTTCTGGTCTTCATTACTGTAGTGAAAATTATTTGACCATTATTTTATTTGAATGCCAATTTCATAGGGAATTATGACTCTTTGAGAAGATGGAGTTCTGTAGATGGAATAGACAGCCTCAGTTTTGTGGCCAAGAGGGACTTGTCAGTGTCTGTTGACTCCTAGAACTGACTCTCCTGCGGCTGCTTTCTAAACGCTTCATAGAACTCAGAAAAACATATCTCGGACTTTAAATTATAGCATGCTATTGATTTCTATCTAGAGGACAATCTGAAGCCCACTCATTAGAGACTTTGCATGAGAAAGCTGGCAAAGTGCCTCGGAGCTGTAAGGTCTTAATGGTGTTTCTTTTCCCAAGAGGGAGGGAGGATTTGAAGATTTCTGTCTCTTCTACTTTATCTTGAATACTTTGGCTTTCGTCCTCTGAATTCTCAATGATGCTTGTTGTCTTTTAGATGGCCATTTCTCCTTCCCGAATGCCTCAGCCTCCAAACATGATGAGTGCACATGCCAACAACATGATGGCCCAGGCGCCCACACAGAACCAGTTCCTGCCTCAGAACCAGTTCCCTTCATCCAGTGGGGCAATGAGTGTAAACAATGTAGGCATGGGGCAGCCAGCGGCCCAGACAGGCGTGTCACAGGTACCGTTTGCCTTCTGGGCCACCTACATTGATACAGCCCCAGCTTCCTACTGACCTGACTATGTCTTTTTTCATGGAAATTAGAATTCTAGACTACACATTTGATTTTTACCTTTTAGCATCTCTTGATATTGCCCTTATTTTATCCTGTCATTTTTACCTTGTTTGGAATGACTCTTAACATCTTGGGGTGAAGAACCTCATGTAAAACTAGAGTGGGTTGTGATTTTTTGGTTTGTGTGCTTTTGCATTTTGATTTTTGTTGTTGTCTTTTTCTTGGTTTTTACTTGTGTCTTTTAAATTCTAAGCTTCATATGCAAATCTGAGAGACACTGAATTTTAAAGAGCGAGTAAGGAAGGGTCCCATGAGTTCACTGCTAATGACTTTTGGTTTGTGTATTTTGTTACCTGCCCCTGAACTGTCCAAGTGAAGTCAGGCTAACTGGATCAGTTGAGTAGTTATCCTTTTATTCAGTGTGTTTTTACTTATTCAGTCTAAAGCTGAAGAGAACTATTTTCCATTCATTTTACTGCCTTTTAAAATATATGTATATTTTTTATTAAATTCAGGGAGGAAGGGGAGAGGGAGAGAGAGGTAGAAACATCAGTGATGAGAGAGAATCACTGATTGGCTGCCTCGTGCGTGCCCCACCTGGGGACCGGGCCTGCAACCTG